GGGGGGGGGGGGGGGGGAGCGTTCGTCGAGAACGATCCCCCCTGCTGTCCTTGCCTTCCCTTGCGTCACCCCCCGCCCCCCGAGGCATTGCAGCTCACTCTGTGGCTGGGCCTATTTGGTGGATGTACTCGTCGAGTTGGGCTTGGAAGCTTGTGGCATCGTGTGCATGTTGCAGCCATGGACCTGCTGATTGGTGGCATTCCCTTGCGCTTTTGCGTAAGCAAGAACCGGGGTGGATCGATGGATGCGACATGATTAATTGCCTCGTGTCTTGCCTTGTGCGCGTCTTGCTGAGGTTTGAGTTTGATTTTAGTTCTGAAGGATGGAAAATCTTGGCGTTTTATTTGGTGGTTTCCAGGCAGGTAGACCTTCAAAGGCGACAAGGCGACTGACGTCATCAGTTATTGGTCCCGTGTTCCTCTAGATTTGCCCGTGGACCAAAAACTGGAGGTTTGTGACACGCGGTTTAGTGCGAGGAGAGCCCAACACAACGAGTAAACACCATCCGTTCATTGCAGATAGATTGTGGCCAAGGCGCACTTTTCCTGTTGGTCAACAGACTTACCACTGGCCGACTTGGGCGGCGGGCACCGTCAGGCACGGACGATACATGCTAAGGATGTTGTTCAGATCGAAACACACGGTGGGCCCGGCCCAACCGCCCCTTCTGTCAAACTCATCAACCTTTCTTGTATGTGTGAAAGTCGTACATGTGGAAGGCGCCCGCAATAAATGGTTCGTAGAAAGACTACGCATTGGAGATCCCGATGTAGTGCGGGTCAAATCGGGCGTTTATCGGCGTCATGTCGGGACCTACGTACACTACACATATTTTTTGGAACGACCTTAGTACTGCTGGAACACACACCAACACATGATGCGAGCTCCCAAAACTCTGGGTTTTCAGGTGTGATTACTTTGAACCTTTCGATGCCCTCGTTCACAAAGAGGAAACTCGGTACATGTGACTGCTTCCTTTGTCTCGCCCTGTACCGCTGCTCGCCACACGTGTCAAGGGCTAGTGGCTCCGTGTGTCATTTCTCGGCGGGAGAGGGGGGTTGTCCTTGGCGCAATAAATTTGAACGCTGCCGCCCTGGGCTGCTTGCTCCAGCACGATGGTAGACACACACGCGACGACAGCGAGCATACAGCACCAGGGCCTTGCACCGATCGTCACCAACGGAGCCAACGCACAAACCTTCTTTCTCTGTACCTGCACCTTACGCACGCAGTGCTGTGTGACATAGCGCGCACGAGACACACACTGCGCATAGCACATACATGCTTCCGAGCTCCACGCGTTCAGTCGCACATACGACAAATTCACCGACGGCTGGCTGGATCTTTCACTCCGCACGACCGACGCAGCTTCTGGCTCAATACCCACATGTGAGTGGGGGCCTAACGCACAGACGGGCTTGAGGTAGCCTCTTTTGGGGATGACATCTTCGCTGCTGCGCGCTGTTGGATAGCGGGAGCCAGGAACTCTCGGCGAGCTGTGTTGGATGTATGTCGCGGTCCGAAAATATTTTGGTTTTGAAAATCCCAACTGCCCGACCGAGAACACACATGCAGGAGGAACACGAGTAGCCTCGTTCGTTCCTCACACCGCGGGCGGTGCATGTGCCACCTATCTATCTGCGCTTGCTTCTACCTTCTACTGCGGTCATGTGCGTGCTCAACGGTACAAGCAGCTTGGAAGTCGCACCCGTCCGTTCTTCTGTGTTCGGTTGTGTCGCAACTAACCGCCCAGCAGCATCATCCGTGCGTTGCGCCGGCATATTCACCGCAGCGGTTCACGTGCTGACTGAAAGTGTCTCAAACATCACTGGTTGGTGTTGTAGTATGCACATTTCCAGACACGTGAGATGATGCGTATCCATCCACGTTCTATGAAGACGGCTGTAGTGCAACACGGCGTATCTTGACCTTCGCTCTCGGTGCACCCTTTGCCCCTGTAGCAGCTCGCGACGAGAGGCCAACTTGCGCCGCTAACCCAAGATAGGGCTTGGCCATCCGGCGGGATCCAGCAGCCGCATCGAGCGGCAGTAGCAGCATCGGGGTTTTTCGCACGCAGCGAGGCCGTGCCAACGTGCGGACACATACATACAGCTGGTTAGCCTGTTGATCCTGGCGAGGAATATCGCATGGCAAAGGTGGGTCCATATCACGATCGATGGAGAGAAAATTGATGGTGGAGAGAAAATAGTCAATCCGCCTTTGACTACTAATAACTATCTGTACACTGCAGTACAGAAGGTCCATCAATGTGTACGTTTCGATGGACGTTCCTGCCTCGCGTGCAAAAAATCCGCCGTGATACACGCACTTGAGATCCCGAAGCAATGCATATATGTCCGTTCCCTCAAAAGCTCTCAATGGCGGTGCATCAGGGATTGCACGCTCTGCTCTGTCGTATGCTGTTTTGAGCGCCTAGCCAAGCACACACACACGCAGCGGCCCCCAGCTTGCTTTCATGCGACGTCGTTTTTAATTGTCGGCGCAACTGCTGTTGCTAGAATATTGATGGGTATGGATGTTGCAAATCTATGCTCACACACTTTGTTAGACGAGACCTTTTTGCTTCATTCAGCTGGTTGTTGTTGTTGTTGATGTTTCCTTAGAATCTGCGTGTGGCACAGCCTGAACCCACGCACGAAACACGTTTTGACCCTGTGCCGGCAGACTCAAGCAATCAGCGGTTGTAGTCTATTTTAGTCGACTTGGTGTACCGTGAAAACCACATCAAACCACATCTACATCACTCGGTACTTGCGGGGCTAAATTACATAGTCTACCTGGTAAGACACTGCTGTGACCCTAGACCCCACGACCCAAAACCCCTCTGTTAGCGCAACAATAAGCCCACACAAAATGAAACAAACACCTAGGTTGCGATTTTACGGAAGGAGCAACAACAATTAAACGTGCGAGGACCTTGTTCTCGTGCGCATGTACCACAACTACGACAAGATTAATCAATCAATCGTGGTTCAGGAGGCATGTAATTGGGGGGGTGACATGTGAATATGTCAACGTTTGTCGAGCTTTTTATAAGGAACGCCGAGAGCAAGAGAAGCCCTGGATGGTTGCTAAGGGTCTGCGTCGTCTTTCTAGCGCTTGAAAGAGCAAACCGTCGGTATGCATAGGGCCGTTTCTATTCCGCGAGGGAATGGCCAAACAAGCAGCTGGGATTTGGGGTTGTTTATTTTCGCGCGAAGATAAGATTTACAATCACGGTTAGGCACGACAACACCAACAACCCACATTGTATGTGCTCCTGGAGGATGAGTGTGTCACGATGTTTTTCGAAAAATAACGCAACACCTAGACTAGACTAAACTAGACTTCCCCCACTCCGAATAACGCACACCTTCTTGCCCGAGGGGACGGTATGAAAAATGTGAAAAAGTTTGTTCCGAACGGTCCGCGAGTCAGTTTAGTAAATGATTCCTCTTGCGGGCGACATGTAGATATTTCTGTGTTCGACGGCCCTGCCCACTCCGTGCGCGCGCGCGCGCGCGCGCGTGCGCGTTTGTTTGAACGGCACCGACCGCGATAAGCCAATGCAAAGACACCAGTCTTACTTTGGGAAAACCAACGCGAACGAACAAGCCTTCCAGTGATAGCTTGGTGTCTACTGGGAAGGGGTGACGCAGGAGTTGGACCGTGGTGTCCTGCTTCTGGAGCACACTGGAAAACACTCAGGGCCACCACCCAGCAGCATTTCTGCTCCGTCATCTCGATCTCCCGTGCTAACATCACCGCCCTGTACCAGAATACTCTGTCTGGCTTCTCCTTGCGCTGCGGAGCTTGTGTGTGCGCGTGCGTCTGTCGTAGTAGCAATCGGCCGCGCTCGCGGACAGACTATTGAAAACATATCAACCAGCCTGTCTCAGTTTGGCAAAAACAGTGTGTGTGTGTTCTGGACACAATCTATCGCAAGCCTCCGCCCTTATTACCTGCCACACGACCGATCGGATCCATGATGCGGACATTGGTTTGTGCAACCACGCTTAACGCATTTGATACGTTTCTCTGTGTACAATCAATCTATCGTCGTCAGGATTGAAGTTCAACCATGCGTGCGTATCTTTCCTTTTCTTCTGTCGTGGTCAGGATTGTAGTTCGGCCGCCGGGGAGTGCTTGCAAGCTGCAGTGTCCGGCACCACTGCTATGCCGCGTTCGGGGTCGAGCAGCGTCATGACCCCCGTCCAGCACGCCGTGAAGGATGGTTCTGGTTGCGACGTATGCGTACAGCAGAGGCAGCACTCAGATGAGACCGGGTGGGAAATACCCGCGACCAAGCAGGCACGTGTCTCTTGTTGTCTGCGTCGTTGCCTCTTGTTGTTGTTGTTGGTGGTGGTTGTGATGGTGGTCAGCAGTTGGTTCCGCTGGTGTTGGGATGCATGTCGTATTGGCTACGCTGGACAATAACAGAAAAAAATAAGTGTGCCTTGTAATGTCTCACAAGCTTGGTGTTGCGTTTTCTTGGGGTGATGCTGTTGAGGCCAAAGCCGGCTTATGTTGTTGAGGCAAAGGCCAAACCCGGCCTATGTTGTCGAGGGTCGCATTCTGCACCCCGCTTCTTTTTCTGCGGGGGGCGCGTACGCATAGTGCCACGCTACTCGCTCTTTTTTCTGCCACGACAAGCAAGCGATTTTCGTCTTCTTGCACCGTAAACTCCAAGCTCTGCCGTTCCCGAGCCGCTCCGTTCCCGTACACCACCTTTCTTCCTTGCTCGCGTTCATGCGCACGCCAGCGTAGCTGTAGAAACGCCACAGTAGGCGCCTCTCTCCCTCCCTATCTCTCGCCCTTGGTCCACTCCATGGTTGGCATCAGTCTTTAACGTCCACCGCCCCTCCTGCCATACGCAGGGAGAGCATCATCCATCATCAACCCCCCCCCGCTCTCCCCGCCCCCTTATCTCTACCCCAGGGAATCACTCTGTGCGCTTATAATGATTTTCTGGAACCCCCCCCCACCCCCCGCTTGTTCACCGCAGTGGCTGATGAAGCGCGCGCTTGAGTTCGGTGGCGCGTTGAGCGGTGTTGGCGGCGGCGGCAGCGATGACGAGCCCGGCGGGTGTTACTGCTGCCACACCCCCTGCGGCGGTCATTCGCACCCGCTGCCGATGGCGGAGGTGGTTTCCACCAGGGTTGTCGTGGCAGAAGGCGAACGGAACGGCTTGGAGGTGTGCGGCGTATTCTCCCACCTCGAACAACAGCAGCAGCAGCAGCAGCCGTCCGCGGACGAGACGACCAAGAAGGAAAACTTGTCGGCGCTCGTGGCGGGGATCGGAGGCGGCGACAGATGCAGCGGCAACACCAGAAAGGACAGCAGCAGCGGCGGCGGCGGCGGCGGCGGCTGGGTGCTGCTGGCGGACGCGGTGGGCGCGCCCACGTACGCGGCGACGATGATGCCGGTCGGCGACAAGGGCCTGCCCCCCGAAGCCCGCCCCCCGTGGGAGCTGGCCGCGGCCTTCAAGCTCGTGGAGTGCGAGAGCGTTCTGCCCTCCCCCCGGGGCGAAGCAGCAGCAGGAGCAGCAGCAGCAGCCGCCGCCACCGCCGCCGCCGCCGCCGCCGTCGTCGCCGCTGCCGAATCGTCCCCTCGAACCTCTGGCCGCAAGAGGAAGACATCCCCTGGCCGCCGTGGGCGCCGTAGGAGTTCGGCCGGCCTGCCCCGCTGAGCGCACGAGAGACGGCGCTTGAGCTGGAGCAAGCGAGGGACGTGTCTGATTGGTGGGGGCGTGGTTGGGATGTGATGTCGTCAATGGGGGATCTATCTATCACAGGTGGTACGTGTGTTTTTTTTTTTTGTGTTTGGCGAAAGGTCATGATGCGGTGGTGCAGAGTGTCACACCCTTTTGGTCCTCCCCATCGCGACGCGAACTAATTTTTCCTCCCACGTTGGTGGTGCATTGCGTGATCTGCGAGACGTTGTGCAAGTTGGCCGAAGAACGGACCCGCGCTAATAATGCCGGGAGTGTTTGTCCGCGGAGATGGGGGGGGTGGGGTACGATTTACAACATATAGTCTAGAACGAAAATCTTTGAGTTTTCTTGCGTTGTTCGCCCGGCCGTCGTTGCCCAAGGCGTTCCGCGCTCTGTGATTTAGTTCGTGGTGGTCTCTTTTGCTTGACGTCGTTCTCTTGTTGTCGTTGTCGTTGTCGTCGTTGCCGTTGGTGCTGTTCGGTGGTGTTTGTTTAGAGGGCGCGGTGGGGGGGAGAGGGGTGTTGGTTGCGTCTTGCCTCTTCCTGTGCTCTTGTGCATCGTTGTTCCCGTGTTGGCGTGCCGGCCCGCCAGCAACAGCGACGACACGTCGCTTGGTGTAGATGGGGCCTCGCCCACGGAAAGAGAGATAGACATACACGTAGATTTGCACATAGATTGACAACAACGTGCGTGTACACTGTTGTTTGTGCTCGGCTGCTGCTGTTGCTACGGGTGGTAAGTGGACATTTTGTGCACGTAGATTCACAACAACGTGCGTGTTTTTGCTCTGCCGCTGCTGCTGCTACGGGTGGTAAGTAGACATTTTGTTCTAGCTCCTCACACCGCGCTGGCGGCGGTGTGGGTGTGCTGTGCGGTGGGGTGCGTAGATAGTCGCTCGTTCGTGTGGTTTTTTGTTTTGAGTTTGGTGCGCGCCTTTCGTTCGTCTCGTCGCTCTGACTGCGGCCAGCCCATCATCACCCTCTTGACTCCTTGCGCTTCAGGTGCTACTGCTGTATACCACGCAGGAGCGTTCCTCCATGGTTCCTATCCTTCGTTGGCGCATGCGTGTTTGTGATTATTGTTTCCATGTCTTACAAGTAACAAAGTGTGTGTCGGAGAGGGGGTCAGCTTTTTTCCCCGGTTTGGGTGGTTTCGAACAAACTGTGTGAAGCCCAACCCCGGGTGGCTTTGTTCGTGTGCTCAGCACAAGAGCAAATTCACTCGTTCGTGCCGCAATCCAAGACAAGAGGTCACGTGCGACCCCAGCTGGAAACGACATTTTTGCATGTGCATGACAAGACTTCGGACGAACAGCGCGGGCAAGATATGAGATGACGTCTCGAAAAACTCCCTCGAGGTCAACCTTAATCTCCCTTCGTGTCCACAGCAACAGAAACACGATCTCAAAGAGACACACAAACGACATGCATGCGGCTACGTCGGGTCCGAATCGCGCCACGAATCGGAAATGTACTTGTAGGGAGGGACCATTGCACCATTAATTGTGGTGCTCGCGCGCTTGTTTCCGAATGATGTCCGTTGTATTTTCGAACAGAGTGGTGTGTCGCAACGCGCTGCTACGAGCGCGCTCACATGTACAATATATCCACCCGGCATGCATGCGTGTGATGCAATCATAATTATGTTGGCTTCAAGAAACATCACGCGCCCGCCACGCCTGACGGGTGGTGTGCTGAAAGCAACAGCTGCTGTCTTGTAGCCCGCCGACGACCCCTCAAGCTGCGGCGAAGAGAAACATTATGACAGTATGACCGTGTGCAACGACACCCGGCCCCCTACTGCATCCCGCAGGCACGACCCTGACAGATAGCTGAGAATGAACACGTACGAGAGCATGGATGGATCGAAACAGCAGTACTAACAGCATAGATTACAACCATAAAATTTAGCCCCCCAACGCCATGTTGGTCGTCGTAACCGACCCCTGTTGCGTTCATTCTTCTCGAAATATACATTTGAACCGATGGATGGACGTACGTACACACACAACACCGAGCTATCGATGCTACGCGACACCCGTTAAAAACGAGAAATAAAGAGTCCCCAAGAATGTCTGTTAATACTGGTGATGACGCCTTCCCTCCGCTCTTCTTCCGGAACGCATACACCGCCACGGACTGGCAGCATCACTTACAGCAAAGAGTGCTCCAGCATCATCGCTACCAACCTCCACCAAACATTCGCTTTGGTTGGACGATAGACTCCCTTAAAAAAATATCAAAACTGGCACACAGTCTGTAGATGGAACCTTCCAACTCTTTGTCTCGACCAGTCACCGCCACTTAGATTTGCGCCTGCGCGCGTGTGCGTGTTGTACCTGTTTTGTTACCTCAGACTCCCGGGGAACAAAAAAAAAGAGCAAAAGAAAAAGAGAGACAGATGGGGAACTGGGTTACAGGACCCCCACCGCACAAGCGCTATCACATCTCTCCCCCACTACCCGGAGGAGTAAAAACGTACAAAGCCGCGAAGTATCGGAACAAGGAGAGGAAGGGCTAAGCACGTGCGCATAATGTGCGGACGGCCTCTTGCTAGGAGACAAAGAAGGCGTACAGTAATAAAAAAGAGTAAAGAGGCAACCAACCAACCACAAGCCACGCTGCCACCCCCGGGCGATCACAACCAACCGGTCACCAGGTAGCCAATGGCGGTGAGGGTGGCGAGTCGGACACAAAAACACCATTAACAACGACAACAGGAGAAACAGTGGATGCCCAAATGAACACAAAAACAGACCCACCTGACTGACTGGAAATATTATTTTTACTTGAAACTTGAAGGAAGGCAGAAGCGCTCGGCAATACACGGTTCTCTTCGGCAACAAGAAGCTTGCTACATGAGTAGCCAGAAGATTGCTCCATAGCCACCCCTATAACCCACGGGATGAATGCTTTCTTTTTCTTGGCGCTCGAACGGCATGCGGCACAATGGAGTCGGCCAGGAAAAATCAACAAAGAGAGACGTCGGACGCTTTAACAGACAACGACAACCTACAACAGCAGCAGCAGCAGCAGAAGCGGTAGCAGCAGCAGACACAACACTTAGGCGGACGGTGCCTCCCCTAATAATCTACATACCCGCCCGTATGGATCGAATGAATGCGTCGCTTGACGTGACACATGAACGCCAAAACATATCTACCGAGTGTGGTGAGAATAGTCATCAAACATGACGACCCGGCTGCTCGAGTTCTTCGCAAAGGGTAAAATACCATAACGCGGCACAAGCATCAACAACAAGACCAGAGAGGACCGCTTGAACTACGACCAGTGACTCCCATATACAAACCGCGCCCACACACCGCAAAACCCATCGTACATGTCATAATGATCCCTAGCACGTGGGCGTTGGACTTCCTTGCCTTCTACAGAACTCGACACATGGCAGTACAGCAGCAGCGCCGACTAGACTGATAGTGCTGTTCCTTTCACAAAGCTCCGTTCTGCTGCACACGAGTTACTACTGATGCGTTCGCAATACATCAAGTCATCCACCATCATCATTTCCCACCTAGATGGCGATGGCGGCAAAGCAAGCACAAAAACTAAAAGGTGGAAAGGGAAAGGGGGAGGAGACCAACGAAAAATGCATCGAGGACAACACCACACGGGGGGGCAAATCTACAATAACGATGACCAGGCCAGCAGAGGGGGCGGGGGAGTACTTTGCGCAAATGCTCGAGACCCCCAACGCTTCTTAGGCCCTGACAGCACAAGAAACAACAGAGAAAAATGAAGGAGGTGGAAGGGAAGGAAAACGAACGTCCTCTTTGTTTGCTGAGCGATATCCGGACATGAATATATTTCGTGTCTAAAGCAACCTGAAAACGCCTACCGGAAAACAACCAAACGCTCTTCGCACAGCAAACGTCTACGACCGTCTAGTTAGTCTGGGCATCTGCGGAGTTCCATCGGGAGATGCCGCCAACCCCGCCACACCATGCCCGCCGCCGCCGCCGCCGCCGTTGTTGCTGGATAATGTCGCACCGGCTTGCCTCCCGAGATCTCGCAAGAACAGCCCTGCCTCGTCACGATCCGCGTTCTTGAGCCGGGCGCGCGTAGCCGCCGTGATGAGAAACGCATGCGCCCGCGCCCTGCGGGTGCGGTGCCGGAAGTAGATATCTTTCTGCATCCGCGAGCTCTGGAGCCCGCCGGACGACGACGACGCCGCGGCCGCCGTCTCGCCCTGGCCCCACCCGTGCGCCCCCTCCATCCGCCACCCGTGCTCTTGCCTCCCGCCGTTGAGCACCCTCCTGGGAAAGGACAGGCTGCCGTACGCGCCCCCGCCCACGGGCCCCGCCCGCCTGTGCACCCCTAGAGGGCCGCTGCTGCCGCTGTCGCTGTCCTCGCCGTCGTCGCCCTCGGTGCCGGAGGTCACCGAACCGCTGGAACCGCTGTTGCTTCGCCCGCGGCCGCGACCGCCGCCGCCGTTTCCCCCGTGGCCGACTGCTGGGGCGTCCCCCCGGCCGCTCTTCGCGCTGTTTACGGACGACGAGTACCTGGCGTAAAATTCCTCGGGGAGGGGGGACGGCGGCAGCGACAGGTCTGACAGCGTCGTCGCCGCTAGCGACGAAGACCCGGCCGTGCTCTGGGCGGCGCTGGCGGCGGCGCTCCCGGCGGCGGCGGCGGACGCGCCACGCCCGCCGGAGCTCCTCGCCAGCCGGCGGCGAGACGTGGGGCTGGGGAGCGACGGGTGCCCGCCGCTGCTGCCGCTGCCGTGCACGTCCGCCTCCTTCCAGCACTGGTCCACGATGCCCTGCCCGACGAACGCGGCGAGCGCGGCCTTGGTGAAGGCATGGTCGGCGCCCAGGATCTCCTTGAGCACCGGGTACACCTTCTCCGCGAGCTGGGCGGACTCGTCGACCTTCCCCTCCTGCCGCAGCACCCGCGTGCACGCCAGCACCAGCCCGAGGTCCCCTACGCACGTCCCCACAACGTCAAGCCTACCGAACGCCGGCAGGTTGCCGTTCCCTCCGCCGCCACCGCCGCCGCCACCGCCGCCGTCCCCTCTACCCGCCGACGCCGCGCGCTCCCGTGTTCCGACGGGGAACTGCAGCCACAGCCGCGAACAGAGCGGCCGCGCATCGTCCACTACTGCCCGATACGTAACGTCTGCCCCCCTCCCTTGCGCCTCTGCAGCGGCCGCTGCCGCCGCCACCGCGGCATCACCGCCGTCGGCCTTGAGCTTCGACCTGTGCTCGTTCCCCCCGGCGAAGTGAGGCACGAGCACCCCGCTCGCCTCCAGCGCAGACAGGTGCATCTCTACGGCGCGCTGGAGCAGCCGTATCGCCGGCGCCTCCCTCTCGAACTGCGCGGCGAGCATGGCCACCTCCCGCAGCATGGACGCCACCTTGTGGTGCGACTCCCTCGCCGCCCGCTCCTTCTGCGAGACCCCCACCGCCCCCGCCGCCCGCGCCGCCTCCTCCGCCAGCAGGCCGCAGGCTTCCTCGTACACGGCTATCGCCCGCGACAGCTGCCCCGCCAGCGCCAGCATGTCCGCCGCCGAGGCCAGCGCTCGCGCCGCGGCCCACCCCCCCGCCCCTCCTGCGGCGGCGGCGGCGGCGGCTCCCTCCGCGCCGCCCTCGGCCTTGTTCCCCCCTGACGATACCAACGCCGCCGCCGCCGCCGCCGCTTTCGCTGCCCGGTAGGCCGCCCTCACCGACGAGACGTACCCAGCCACCGCGGACGTCAGCGAGTAAGGAGCGGGGAGGGCGTCCCACGAGGCCACCAGATAGTCGTACCGGGAAAAACCGCCGTACCCGTGGTGCGGCGGGCCGGGACGGCCACTGCCCAGGAGCCCGGACGGAATCGCGTCAGCAACACCCTCGCCGCCGCTGCTGTCATCGCCGCCACTCGCGCCCCCTGTCCCAGTATCCGCGCCCCGCAACCCCCAGCAGGCATCGTCGAAGGTGCCCACGAGGGATGATATCCGGGACAGCGTCCGCGCTCTGCGGCGCGCCGCCTTCTGCATGGCCTCCGGGTGCCTGAGGGCCAGGCACGAGACCACCGGCCGCTGCAGCCCGTGCAGGACGAGCCCGTCCGCGCCCTCGCCCCCGCCCGCCCGGCACACCATCCGGAGCGCTTCGAAGACTTCTACCGGCGACGGGAGATTGTGCGCCGCCGCGAAAGAAGAACCGCCCCGGCCGGCGGCGGCGGCGGCGGCGGCGGCAGCCCCTTCCTCGTCCCCCTGCCCGCTACGCCAAAACTCCTCCAGCGCGGGCGGGGGCAGGGGGTGCCCCTCTGGAAGAAGGGCAAACGAGAGGTAGCACTCCACCGCCCATCCCGAGCCGCCCAGAATTCTGTCCGCCTCCTGGAGTGCCAGCTGTGGGAAAGGCGCGCCAGAGCGAGTCCAGTCGTCCAGGGCGGCGACGGATGGGGCACAAGAGAGGGATTAGATAGAAACCAGGCTCAAAGGCTCAAAGGCTCAAAGGCTCAAGGGCAAGGTCAAGTGGACATGGGGGGGGGGGGTC